GTGTAGAGAATGTATAGATTTGCCTTAGAGGTCATTTATCTTGTAAGGCACGCCATTGAGTTTACTTCTGTATTTTGCCTGAATGATCTGAGTATCTCATGTTAAGTTAATAACTGACATTAATCCTAGTAATAAAGTAATTTTCACTGAAAATTTCAAAATATTTTTTGAAAATATTAATATTATATTTTCAATTTTTACCAAATGCTACTTTGGTAACTGAATTATCTACTTTAGTGTCTGGTTAGTCCCAAATCGGGTTAAATCTAGAACCTATAAATTTCAAATGAAAATTAAACCATTATTAATTTTCAGAATATCTAAACTGTAAACACTTAAATTCTTGCTGCTTGAATAATAATCAGCTTTTTATAAATCATATTGATGTAATAAAAGTATGCTTAAGGTTTTACAGAATTGCCAGATTTAAATTTCAGAGTTAGATGAGACCAACAGAAGCTGACATATAAAAGGATTGATTCTAATTTCAGAACACAACTGATTTATATAGCACTTTAAGATTTGCAGAGCATTTTATATATGCATTAGTTTCATTTGAGCTTTATTGTTTTTATTAGTCATTTTGGTCATATCTGACTCTTCATGACCCCATTTTTGGATTTTATTGACAAAGATACTAGAGTGGCTTGCTGTTTGCTTCTCCAGCTTATTTACAGATAAGGAACTGAGGCAAACAGAGTGAAGTGACTTGCCCAGGGTCACACAGCTAGTAAATGTCTGATGTGGGATTTGAACTGAGGAAGAGGAGTCTTCCTGACTCCAAGAATGACACTCTTATTTACTGTGCTACCTAGATTTATAGTAACCTTAGAAGGCAGATACCATTATTCTCATTTTACAGATGAGGAAACTGAAGCTCAAAAGGGACTTGCTTATGGTCACAAAGCTAATAATGATTTGAAACTAAGTCTTCTAACTTGAAGTGTAGTACTCTGTTTACTATTCTATGTCACCTTTTAAAATCTTAAAACTTTTTATTTATATTGCCCTTTAAGATCTCAAGTGAGGGGGGAACCCATTACCCACTGAAATAGTCCATCTCACTTATGAATAGCTCTGATTCTTAAAAAAAAAAGGTTTTTCTTTTCACAAATCCTAAATTTGGCTCTTTTCAATGCCTAGTTCAGCCCTTTGTGGCCAGGCAGATATGTCACCTGCGGCATCCACCCCATCCCCGAATACTTGTGGATAGCTGTCATCCCCCTCATCCCATATCTTCTTTCCTGTTAGCTAAACATCCTTACTTCCTTTGACTAGTTTTCATGTGGCTTGAACTCTAGGATCTTTACCATAATGATTGTTCTTCTCTGGATATGGTCCACCTTATCATTTCCCTTTCTAACATATTTCATCTAGAAATGAGCACAGTGCTTCAAGTAAGGTCTGACCAGTGATACAGTGGGATTTTCCTACACTTGGACAACATGAATTTCTTAGTGTGACTTAAGATTGTGTTAGGTTTCTTGGCTTCCTTATTCATGTTGTTATACTGTTCTCATATAGTCCACTTAAACCTTCAGGTGTTTTCTCAGAAAGAAATGTTGTCTAGCTCTATCTCTGCCATTTAAATGAAGTTGTTTTTTTTTTTTTTAATTCAAGTATAGCACTTAGCATTTATGCTTGTTAAAATCCATTAAATTATATTTGGTCCAGTGTTTTAGCCTGTCCACATTAACTTCTTTAGATACATCTCCTTTTTGCACCTCATCAAAATTATTTCTCTTTGTGTTTTCATAATTTCATTCTTGAAAGCTTCTAATCACTCATGGGTTGACCTCTCCTGTAGAATTTTAGTGATAGGATTCTATTTATTTTTTGAACCCTTTGAAATCTGCTCCTCCAAAATATATAGGGTATGTCAGATGAAGACTAACTTTCTTCTCTTTTTTCATAAATAAATTGTTGTCTTCCCCATTAGAGTATTAGTGCCTTTGGGTAAGAATTATTATTATTATTATTTTTTTGTTAACTACTCTGCCTCAAGTCTTTCTTTAGGGGCAGCTAGGTGGCAGTGGATAGAGCCCTGGCCCTGAAGTCAGTAGTACCTGAGTTCATATCTGGCCTCAGATCAAATACTTGACACTTACTAGCTATGTGACCCTGGGCAAGTCACTTAACCCCAATTGCCTAAAGAAATAAAAATTTAAAAAAACAAATCAAGTCTTTCTTTACTCCAGTCCATCCTCTCCTGATCTGCCATAGTTATTTTCCTAAAGCACAGATATTACTTTGTCACCTTACCAAAATAAACTGTTATAAGTAGAGATAAAATAGCACTATCAGCCATGATTATAACTGAATTTTAAGTGGCATGATATAATTTATAAGGGAGATGAGTGAGAGCTGTATAATTTTAGAGCTGTAAGACCTCAAAGATTTTTCATTCAAAACCCTTCATTTTATAGGTGAGGAAAATGAGGTTCACTTGGGTTTATAAACTGGCCCAGATCACACTTAGTGCCAGAGTCAGAACTAGAATCCCTTGGCTACCTGTACCAATTTATTTATAGTAATAATGATGATACCTTACATTTATAAATTGCTATAAAACTGCCTTTCATGTACATTCATCTCATTTGTTTCTCAGTAATCTTGTTAGGTAAGCAGGACAGCTGTTATTCCTATTTTGCAGACTGGGAAACAGAGGTTCAAAAAGTTTAATTGTCTTGCTCAAGGTCCAATGACAGAGCTACAACTCAAACCCAGTACATTTGACTGCAGGTCTACTGTCCTTTCCTTCCTTGGCTCTGAGTTTGAGACATCTGTATACAGTTTGACCCAGTATCATCATTAGGAATCAAATACTCCTGTTATTCTTCTAATCTTGAAAGCTTTATAACTCTGTTATTCTATCCTCCTAAGCCACATTCATGGTTTCTTTCACTGATATTACCTTTAAGATGCTTCACCTTTATTCATTATCTCTCTTCTGCCCCTGTAGCATGATGTAAAGAATTCAGTATTTCTTTTAATAGCTGAGAAAAAGTAGAATATATTCTCCTACAATACTCAGATAATTGGCTCCACATTGTAAAGACCAGACAAGGCTGAAAACAACAGGTCTTTTAAGACTTGCGTCCTCCTTGCCTATTTATTAGTCATAAATGAAACTACTAACATTTGGATATAGTCTTGGTCATTTAGGCAAAGTATCAAGGGCTGCTGCTGTTGGCAAGATATACTGAAGAACTCGTTGCTTTTTATTTGGAATAACAGTCAAATGGTTATAATCCTTACACTATACTAAAGAAGTTCAAGAAGACCCTGCTTTACAAACTATTTTTGTTTCTAGAATTCATGTGTGCATAATCTTTGTGAAACTGGAAATTATTCCTTCCATGGAAACAACAATGTTATTTATACTGTTTAGGTTTTTAGGCTAGCCCACAAAAGCTGGAAGATGATGTGCTTGCAACTTCAAAAAACAGAAAACTATTCTTGCAATTTTAATATCTAAAAAAAATAAAGCAAGACATTCTCTGCCTCTATACAAACAAGTGTAATGTTGCCAGTAAGATGAGAAAAAGGATAATAGTGATCTGTTCACTTTAGCTAATTACAAATGGCAGAGTAGGTTGACTCCTTCAGTAAATTGAAAAACATACCAAGAGTACATTTCTCATATCCCTCTTTCCCTTCATCCCCTCAGCCCATGAATTCCTGATTTGGCTTGGTGAAAAACAATGTATTATTCTAAAGGAACAGTAGCCAACTGCTTCCTGACCCTGTCCTGAGGATAGGGAGTGAGAAGTGATGAACTCAAGTGATACAAAGGCATATGAGGTTCAAGTAAAGAATGGGTGTATTCTGAGAAGCAGATTAGGGCTCCCTTGAGGTAATATAGAGGCTGAGGAGGGTGGGGGAGGGACTGGGACACTGAGAATAAAACCCCTAGAGCAACTTCATTTGGCTCTAGAGACCAAGTATTTAAATATTTTTATCTCACAAATAAAATGAAGAGAGAATTACAGTTAAAATAGGGAGGGAAAAAGAAGGGGGTTATATGTACTTGCTAGACACTGACATGAAGTGTAATTTAATAAGCTCTAAATAGTTAAAGGAAACATAGAAACATAACTCCTGTGTGAGCTCCAGAAGGAAATTTGATATGGAGAGGGATGAAAAAAGAACAAAGTATAGATGAGATAATGAGTCAGACAGTTTCCTGTTAGCAGGTAATACCACTGTGCCAGGACAGGTAGTTGCTAGATTGACAAAAGCTGCGGGGACAGAAAAACTTTTGGCGGTTGGTGGGGTAAGGGAAAAACCAGCCACGTGCAAGTGGCCATTTGTATGTAAAGATGCACATCACTCAGAACTCAAGGTTGTTAAAATTTTTATTTCTGTTCTTTACCTAAGAAAGGACAAATTTCTTCCAATACAAAATGATTTCACTACTCTAGTCCTCTCACAAATTTGTGTTTTGTTTCCTTTTCTTTTTCTACATAAGAGAATGTCAATTTCTTATAATACAAAATGGTTATTATTTCTGAAGTTATGTGATCCTGGATGAGTCACTTTGCTTGTTTGGGCCTTAGTTTCCTAATTTGTAAAATGAAAATGTTTAATTAGCTGTCCTTGAGAACATTCTAGTTCTGATGCCCCTTTCTCCATCCATATTTCATGCTTCATTAGTTTGCTCTCTCATGCTATCCAAGCTGCTTCTCTAATGCCAATTTATGCAGGTAATTATTTAGACATTGTATTTTCTTGTGCCTTTGGACTCTATGTTTTTTTGGGTAAAGTTCTTCTGTTTAATGAAGTATATTACAAATGCCTGCCTTTGGTTATCATGCTAACCCAAGTAATGTCAGTCTTACCTGGTATCTATGTGACAACATGACATCTGTTTACCACTTTTTGTTTGTGATATTTAAACTTAAAATGATTTCTCCCAAGGGACAACTTGGAAATTTTGCTTCTTAATATATCAGTGTGGCTTGTGATTTATTAACAAAATATATAATTATATATTGCAGATACTGGACCTATCATGATGAAAGATTTTTATACATGTTAATGGAATATGTTCCTGGAGGAGAACTTTTCAGCTATTTGAGAAACATGGGACGGTTCAATAACAGCACAGGACTATTTTATTCTGCAGAGATTATCTGTGCAATAGAATATCTGCACTCCAAAGAAATAGTTTACAGAGATCTAAAGCCTGAAAATATATTATTAGATAAAGAAGGCCATATCAAGCTTACTGATTTTGGATTTGCTAAAAAGCTAGTAGACAGGTAAGATATGAAATCTTTTAATTTTGAAATTTGAAAATTATGAAAGTTAATAGTTGAAAAATTGTTTGCTTACCACTTAGATGCTTCTTCGGATTAATAAGATTTATCATTTTTACATGACTAAAATGCATATTTGATGTAAATTATATGTATGTGTGTATGTAAACACACACATATGGATACATACATGTATGCACATACATGTATACACATGGTATATACATGCATACATACACAAATATATGTGGGTATGTATATAAAATTACCTTCACAAATAATTAATGGTTGAATTAGCTAGTTGTGTGAGAAGTTATTTTGACCAGAGAGAATGAACAAATATAAAAAATAGAAACATCTTATAAAGCAGTCTAGGATCATTTATCAAGCTTGTGTTTGTTCCCATGCAACTCATTAGACCCTGAGAGCATTACTGTATTATAGCATAGTATGATACTCGATGTTTGTAATTAAACCATGAGTAATCAAGAAAAAGTTAAATTATATTCAGAATATTATATTATATCCTATAATATTCTAAATAATAATATTAATTTATATTCTGAATATTCAAGAAAGGAAACTGTTTAATACATTGTAGAAAGATTTCTATCAAAAATATCTTAACAAAATATTCAACCTTCAGTTATCGAACAGATAAATTACATGGAAAACTTCTTTGTTATAGAAGGTCAGATAAAGATGGATGCCAATTTATAGCCTTCTATAAATATCTATTTTTCTACTTAAGTAGGCTATAAAGAGTTTGGCTTTCTCAGGAAAATTTGACACCGTGCTTTCAGGGAGGAATTAATACTATTTATTCTACATATTCTTCCTCAATCATCTTAGTTGTTGGTATCTATGAATGTTTCTAAGTGGAATGATTTCTCAGCTAAATGTACTGTGAACCAGATGTCCCCACCCTTTAAAAGTTAATTATTTAGATCCATAAGGATAAAACAAAAAAGTGCATTATAAAAAGCAGGGTCCGCTAAAGATTTAATCATACTGACTTGACAGATTTTTAAGAATCTGGTTTAGAGTGTAGGTGCTGCCACACTGTGGTTCTTATGAATTTTGATCTGTGAAGACGACTCAGTCTGTCTAACCCTCTTTTGTTATAGATGAGGAAACTGAGGCTTTATGTCTAACAATTTAAAAAAATAGTTTCTATATAAGACTGATTAAAATAGAAGTAATAGAATTGTCTCTTTAAACTATTGGTGTTTTATTTTGACTTTTATAATATTTATTCTAAAGTGAATCTTATTGTTCAGAAAGCATAATTAACACACAAAAAAGTAAAAACATTTTTACTTTTTATTTTAAAAGTATTTTAAGGAGGGGCAGAAATTAATTGCCTGGAGGAATTTGGTACTATGTTGATATAACCATGGGAATTTAAAAATGTACTTAAATCTCTCCTATTATGCAAGTCATAGCTTGATGGGGAATGTTATTAATTCTTTCTCTTTAGTGTCAAATTGACAAATTGATTTAGAAGATAATCAATTTAAATTCTTTAGTAAAAGACAACCTCTTTTGATCCTGTTCTTAACATGGTAACTGGCCTATATTTGCTCTTTAGGTGTACATACCGGTATATATGATCATTGGGTAAGGTTTGCACAATAGAAATGAGGTAGAATAATTTGGGATGAAGATAAATGTAATGTCTACTTTAGATTTTCATGGATGCATAGAAGTAGTATGATTTTTCTTTTAAAAAGGAGAAAAACAAGTATGGTTTAAGCAAATAGAATAAATATATATTTAAGAAAAGTATTTTAAAATATTTTCAATATGTTTAGTAATACTTCACAAATTTTACTTTTAATAGTTTTATATGATACAAGGTACATTTTAAAATTCATATAAATGTATCCATTCACTTAAAATACATTTTAACAATTGTGTTTTATTAGAAATATTCTGTATTCATTGACTATAATTATTTTCCTTGACATGGTTTAATTATTGTTTTACATTGCTTTTTGGTACTTTGAAGGATCTAAAGGTCTAAAACTAATAATTAATTGCTTTTTTTCAACTTTCTTTGGTATTTAAACTTTGTTTCATATAGAAGACTTTGCCTTACGTCCAAGAAGAAAAGTTATATTTAGTTTTGATTGAAGTTTTGTTCTAGAACAGCACACTAAACAATTGTTTTGTGACTACTTTTATAATCTGGGAATATGTTTACTATAAGTCACCTTAAATTTTTATTTCTGGAACCTCACTGGATAAATCAGAATCTTGATGGTCAGTATTTTTTACTGTAATTTATTAGTTTAACAATGGGGAATGTAAGCATAGTAGAACCAAACCTGTATAAGATAACATTTTCTTCATTAAGACTGTTTGGGGATGAATAAAAAGATTTAGGGATTGTAAGTGCCTTAGGAACAGATACTGTTTCATTTTTATTTCTATATCCCTTCACCAAGGATAGTGCCTGGCACATAGTAGGTACTTATAGAATGCTTGTTGATTGATTGATACTGAGCCCAAGGAAAGGAAAGGAATCATGAGATACGAGTACTTCTTTACCCTCAGGACAATACACAGGTAAACAAGTATTTGTTTTATTTAGTTACCTGTATAGGAGAATAGTTAGGCAGAACCTAAGCAAGAATCACAGAAGCATAGAATGTTAGAGCCAGAACCTTAAAAATATAGTGCAGTCTTCTCACCTTACAGGTGAGGAAACTGAGACTCATAGAAATAAAGTACCTTGATTAAGGTCATTCTCAGGAACATGGATTTAGAGATTGAATGGGTCTTAGGTCATTAAAGCCGAACTCCTCTTTTTACAGATGAGTACAAACTGAGGCCAAGAAAGGTGAAGTGACTTGTTTGCTGAGGGTCACACAGGTAGTGTCTGAGACAGGCTCTGAAACTAGGCCTCCTTTACTTCGGCTTCAACATTCTGTCCGCTGAGTATGACGCACTGTCTCTGTGTGGGGTACATTTCCACGTGGCTGCTTATAGCAGATTGAGGATTTAAAGCTGCTCTTCTTCCATTCAGCCAATATTTATGAAGCATCTGCTGTCCTGCTGTAAGCAGTAGAATGTTCAGCTTTGTGAGCGAGACGTTGTACTCTTCTTAATGCTCCTAAGACAGTATTAGTTTTTGTGGCAACTATGTCTTAGTTGATCATATTGGATATGTGGTTAACTAAAAGTACTAGATCTTTTTTTTTTTTAACACTAATTACCGTAAAACTGAATATTGTAGAATGGGCCTAATTCAGGCCAGTATGACATATTACTCCTGCCATAATATGTGTCCCCCGTCCTGTACTTTTGAAATAGATATTTTTAAAAAAAACCCTCGAAATGTAGGATATAACATTGAGCCCTGGTAAATTTCATTATGCAAACTGAGACCAAATGCTATAGCTATCAAGGCTGCAATCTTCATGTTTTTCACCCCTGGTATTAGCTATCCCTCCCAACTTTTTTTACCCTGTACAAACTTGATGTGCCTTCTGTATCTTCATCAAAGTTAATTGGTTAAAAATGGAGAGGAGGGGCCAAGGACAGACAGATAGATCCCTGTGGCAAGACAATAGAGGCCTTCTTCAAGGTTGACACCAAACCATTAACCAATACTCTTTGCCCTCCAGTTCAGTTATTCAACCATATGATTCCAACTGTGTAATCTTGGTACTTTGACCCCTCTGTACCTCAGTTTTATCATCTATAAAATGAAGGGCATTGATTTGATGATTTCTAAGAGCTCTTCCACCTTGAAAATTATGTTAAGTTTTGACTCTTATCTAACCATACACTTATCCGATCCCTATTTCTTTAACTTACTCATCAGACTGTCATAAATGACCTTGTCAGTGTTTTGCTGGAATAAACCTAATACTTTGTAAATAGTACTATAATTTTGTAAAGCAGTTTGGGGTGGGTGTCTGTGTTTTGCGTGTGTTTGTGTGTGTGTGTGTGTGTGTGTGTGAGAGAGAGAGACAGAGAGAGAGAGAGAGAGAGAGAGAGAGAGAGAGAAGGGGATAGAAAGGAAAGAGAGAAAAAAGAGAGGGATAGAAGGAAATGCAAAGAGAGTGATTGATTCTCTTGGTAATCTTGAGGTCAGTCAGCCATCATCTCTGTTTAAAAAAAGAAATTGAAGCTCTTAGAGGTTAAATGATTTGTCTGACATCACATAGATAATAATTTACAAAGGGGAATCTTGAACCCAGATCTTCTTAGTCTTGTTTGCACTCCCAGTCAAGATATATTCACCATTCTAATAATCCTATCAAAGAGATCACGTTAACTTTACATGATTCAATTCAACATTTATCAAGTGCCTGTTCTTAGTATTAAGTGACTTATTAGTAAGCATACTGGCTTTTTGTGATTCTTCCTTTCTTTTCACAAGAGTTATCCTCTGTTTAACATTTTTTCCCCTAGAATTTGCCAGAGATCAATGGTAAGTTCATCAGCCTGCCCATAGTCTAGAATTGGTTTCTTTTCTGACTTTGAAAATTGGTAACTTTGTTCATAACCAGTCTTCTTGACATCTTTCTCTCTTCAAATCATTTCTGATAGATAACTGACAGTGATTCTGCAACCCTTTAATGATGGGACTAAACTGATGAAAAAGGAGGCTAAGGATAGGCTTCTTTGGAGAAGTCACACTTGATAGCATATTTGCAGTGATACTAAATGCGACAGAACTCAGGCCTAGGAAGAAACTTTTGACCTTGGAATTTAATTATAAAGAAAACAAACAAAAATGTACTAGGTGAGTTTTGTATAACAGAGCATTTTCCTTGTGGTTAGTGATGAGAGAAAAATAAATAGACCTTCTCCTAAGGCAGTTCAACAAACGATAGATAACTACTACATACGGGGCACTATGCTAGACTTTGAAGATACCTTGAAAAGTAAGAACTAATTTCTGCCCACAGGGAACTTATATAATAGTACATTTTGCAGTGCTACTAATAATAGCTCCCATATGGCACGTTAACGTTTATTAAGCACTT